CTTCCACTTGGCATAGTTAGTCCCATAGAAATGAGGTAACTTGCCCATGGGCACATTGATGAAAGACCTTTGATCATGGTTAGTTATAGGCATAGAAGAATAGTTAAAGGATACGGCGGCATATTTATTGTTGGAGTCGGCTTTGTCCTTTCCTTTCTTCTCTTTTTTGCTCCCCCTTGGTCACTTGGTAGGACTCATCATCATTTCCATCTTCGGAGCTACTTGAGATGTCACTTGATGATGCATTGGTTGTCTTTGCTTCTTTTTCCTTCTTTCTTGCTTCTCTTCTTTTTCTTCTTGCTTCTCTCTTGACCTTTCTTTCTTCTTTTCTTTGCTTTTTGTCTTCTAGCCTTTGCTGCTCCTTCTTCTTCTTTTCTCTTGCTTCTCTTTTTGCCTTTCTAGCTACCTTTCTTTTTCTTCTTTCTTCTTTATTTTGAGCTTTCTCGGTATCGGTTGCCTCTAGCTGCGGAATGGTGGTGTTGCTCGCAGTAGAGGCGTTGAGCTCGCTGTTGTCGGTGTCGTGCAAGCTCACGTCCTTCGGATCAACATCAATGGGCTTCACACCACTGGATCCTCCTTCAAGCTCCATACCTCATGCGATGAAGCGCACACGAGGTAACCTGCTCTGATACCACTTGTAGAATCTCTGATTAGCCTAGAGGGGGGTGAATAGGCCTGTTAAAACAAAACTCAAGCAAATGTCAAATTTAACCCGTAGCACTTCCGCTCTAAGCCCGCTGCACTATTGCTCTATGGCACTGCCAGGCCCGAACAGCGGCACTGCTGCACTTGCAGACAACTTTGTGACCCAGTTCAAAAACTATGAATGAAAACTTAGATCGGAGAAATTACTAATCTTCTTGCAGGTATGTAGTTCATAGATCGACAACAGAAAGTAGTAGCACAAGTGTATACAAGTAGATCGACCTCGAGCCCTAGAAATCACCTCAACAATAATATGAAATGCTAGTGAAGTAAATCAAGCACAAGGTGACACAAGTATTTATCCCGTGGTTCAGCACGCCACCAAGGCTTTCCTAAGTCCACGTTGTTGAGGTTATCCACTAAGGCTTAGGGCTTTGCAACCCTTCCTCGATCTCAAGTTAAGAGAGTTAACTCTTGAGATAAGGGTTGAGTCTACTAGCTTCAAGAGATGGTTACAAACCTCCCGGGGCTGCCACACAAGTTGGCAAGCTCCACGGGTGATGCTCTAGCTAGCTAGGAGCAAGCTCCAAGAGTAACAAACATAATCAACCGGCTAAAACGTGAACCAAGTGCTCTTAGGCTTTGGGAATCAGTGGATCTGCTCTCTAATCGAGTTTTGAAGCCTTTTCTCTCAAGGAATGATGGGGAAATCACAAAGGAATGCTTAGAAGCTCAAGGTCACCAATGGAGAAGAGAGAATGAGCAAAGAGATGTTGGCGTCGGTCTGAATGACCAGAGAAAGAAGAACCGTTGGAGGGGTGTGTGAGAGATATAAATACCCTCAACCCCAACGATCAGTTAAGTCGCGGCAGTGCCGCGACTCAACTGCGGTAGTGCCGCACTGCGGCAGTGCCTCTGTTCAGGTGCGACACTGCCGCACCAGGCCAAACCACAAAGGTGAAAGCGTGGAAAAGCTGGCTGTCTTGGCTGAGCAAATGAGGATGTATGTGTATAAGATTGAGCCCTTGGTTGCACACTTTAGCAAGTTTATTGTGTCCCCCTTTATAGTACGGTATTCCTACGCTCAAATTAAAAATATAAAAGAATTTAAATCTCCTTTGAGTTTGAAGCCGTCATCATTTATAATTAGGGGCTCATCAATTTCATATAACATCCTCAATTCTAGATTCCCTGCTTGTCATCTCGATAAATCTCATTAGTCCTCTAATTGCGTGGTCATTATCATCAAAACCCATAAATAAGGCTTGATTGCACTTTTAGCACTCCCCGCTGAAGATGGGGACCACATGGCCGTCCCCCATGCTCTTCACCACTCTGGATCCATCGGATTCTTATTGTTATTGTTACTAGCTGTGAATGTGATGTGATCATGGGTGTTTGGCGGGCCCCCATACCGCCCCTTTCTCCACCACTCTAGATCCTTTCTCTTTATCCCTTTATTACTTTGCTCCGTAGTATTTATCTTCTACCACCCACCGCCGCCACCCCTCGTCTCCCATCTAATAGTTGTAGAGACAAAGTTGTAAGCTACTAGAAGAAGGAAAAACGCTGGGACCGATTATGTTGTACCAGCGAGCATGTAAAGTTCGGAGGTTGTACAAACATATAGCATGGAGGGCCATATGATAAGGTGTAGTTAGCCAAATTACACAATGATGGAGCTCTCCAATGGAAGTCTAGGCACTCTAGCTTGGACATTGACACACATTGTGGTGATATGTACTCCTAGGATGGGAGTGTAAATAAAAAATGGAGCCGACTTGGAGCGAATTCGTGGAGGAGTACAGTGATTTAAAAGGATTAGAGTCAAGGTAGTGATTGTTGTATGACACTCAAATCCTACTTCACTAGGACTCAAGAGATGTGTGCTATTAGAACTTCTAATTCTGTTAGGACTTAATTGTAGAATTCTACTAGGAATAAGACTCCTATTTGTATAGACATGGGACTTAGATGAGACTATAAAAACAAGGGGTAGAAGTCATATGTATCATTGAAACCAATATAAGGGTCTCACACAAGAGTTATACAATAAGGAGCAATTAGGAACGCTTAAGAGGATTACCAAGTTAGACCATCTTATTGCAGTAGATTCTTTTATAGGGCAAGAATCGGAGGATCAAGTAAGGTTCTAAGAGAGCGATAATTACTTGTACTATTTTGTTGTTGTGCTTGTAGAATTTATAATCGATTTTGTCAAATCCTAATACCTTAACATGGTTATTTGAACATCATCATCTTTGATTTTCTACGAGATTCGTCTATATCTCGTTCTTGACACGGGTGCAACCTTGTGTTATACTCATCATATCCTTTCAAAAATCCAACAGTTGTTACGCATAATTAGATGTATCAGAAACTAATGCTAATCTTTGTCCACTCTCCTCACTAATCATTTTTATCTCTTTCAAAGAAATGGTGCATTTAGCTCCATATCTTGCTAGTTTTATTCTATGCTAAACAGAGCTGGGTGTCTAATTGAGACCAAACTACTAAGTTTATGATATATTTGTGCAAGCCAAACTAACTTAACTTTGATCATGATTATCGTGAATAATATTAACATTTTTGTCTTAAATTAGGTTTACTATAAAAATATATTTCACAACTAATTTAATGCTATTTATTTTATATTATAAATATTATATTTTTTATATAATTTTGATCAAACCTTGAATCGTTTGACTCGTTTAAAAAAGTGACAATATTTTTTTAGAGATCGAGTAAGTACACGACACATGTGTCGTTGTCCGTTTACGTTTCTGGGGTCCGGGCGGTGTAGCCTTGTGAGTTGTGATGTAGATGCGCACGCTGACAAAACCGGCGACATCACATTCGAAAGGATGGCTGACACCAATCCCGGAAGAGGAAACGCGCACCGAGCTCACCCTGCCTGCAATTGCAATGCAATAGCTGGCCTGGCAAGCTGGTTCGGTGAAAAGTGAAAACAAAAGGCCCGTTTGGTAGAGCTCCGGCTCCAGCTAAAATAACTTCTTTTGTGGCTTCATCTGTGGAGCAGATTCACTTGAGGAGCTGAAGCACTTTTTTGGACTGTTTGGTAAAACAACTTCAACTCATGGTTGAAAATAGTGAAATCACCATCTTACCTTTTTATTTTGTTTGTTTTACTCTTTCTTTCTTTATTTATTTTTCAATCTTAATCCTTTTATCAATCGGCCTTTTTTTCTTTTTTCCTTCCCTTTCCTCTCTTTTCTTTTTCCTACCTTATCTGTTGCTCACGGTCCAACCAACCGCATGTGAGTACGCGACCCTCCGTCTCTGTCTCCTACCTCCGGATGTCGCCCGCCCACCCCGCCGCCGCACTCAAGCATGTGACCTCGCGTCTCCTCTTCTACCTCCGCGACCTCGCACCTAGGGCCGCGCCCAGCCACGGGCTACCGACGGCGCCGCGTCCCTCCGTCTCGCCAAACTCCCTTCCCACATTCTATCTGCTGACCCAGTAACATTGCCGACTCATCACGTCACGTCATTGCCCCCCCCCAACATCTGTCGCTGTCGGAAAGAAGGGCACCCACGTCCAATCCACGTAGGGGCCCGCACGCGCGTCGGCACGAACCGGATGAAGCTAGTATTTTCTGACTCAGTGCGCAGAGATGGTGTTGTGAGAGCGGGTTTCCCATGATCCTCGTGAGAAGCCCTTTGCCCATTTGGGCCACGTTTAGTTGTCCCCAATTCGGCGCCGCCGGATTTCATGGACTTTACGAGCTCACCCTTTTTCGTTTTTATTTGATAATGATTGTCCAACCATTGACTAATTAGGCTCAAAACATTCGTCTCGTAAAGTACAACCAAACTGTGCAATTAGTTTTTGATTTTGTCAACATTTAATACTCCATACATGTACCGCAAATTTGATGTGATGAGGAAATCTTCTTTTTGCATAGTGCCAAAGTTTGGATTTTGGGTCGCGTTTAGTTTGCTGACTCTGCGCCTCCTGAAACACTGTAGCGACAATGTAGCTACAATGTTGTTTTGTTTTATTTGATAATAATTGTCCAATCGTTGACTAATTAGGCTCAAAACGTTCGTCTCGTAAAGTACAACAAAACTGTGTAATTAGTTTTTGATTTCGTCAACATTTAGTACTCCATTCATATACCGCAAGTTTGATGTGACGATGAATCTTCTTTTTACATAGTACCAAAGTTTGAAAATCGGAACTAAACATGGCCTTGGTGAACTCAACAGGGCCTTGATTGATGGAGCATCGAAACAGCTCCAGGAGCTGCCTGACAGCCGTACCAAACGGCTCAAAAGAGCTTCTCTGACGTGCTACAGAGTACTACAGTCAACTCTCTCGACTGACTCATGCCATGTCACCAACCCGGAGTCCGTGGACGGAGGATTACCATGGACACACCCTCGAACTCGTTACCCGCTCCCCACCGACATTGCGGCCCCACCAGTCATCCTCTGTGACCTGTCCCCCACCAACCTTCTCCACCTCGCCACGGCGGTATAATAACCTGGCCTCCCCCAAATTCCGCCACTCAGCAGCTCAGGCGAGCAGCGGAGCCGAGCAGAGCCTCGAAATCCCGACCACCATTTGCCCTCCGGCCCACGCGGAGTCGATCGCTTCACCGGCGGCGAGGCCGATGGGTTCCGTCGCGGAGGACTCCGCCGCGGCAGCGGCAGCGGTAGCGGCGGCGTCGGTAGTGTTCCGCTCCAAGCTACCGGACATCGAGATCCCGCGCCACCTCTCGCTGCAGGTCTACTGCTTCGAGCGGCTCCCCTCGGTGTGCTCCCGCCCGTGCCTCATCGACGGGCAGACGGGCGCCGTCCACACCTACGCCGACGTGGAGCGCCTCTCGCGGAGCGCCGCGGCGGCGCTGCGCGGGCTCGGGGTCGGGAAGGGCGACGTGGTGATGAACCTGCTCCGCAACTGCCCCGAGTTCGCCTTCGTCTTCCTGGGCGCCGCGCGGCTGGGCGCCGCCACCACCACGGCCAACCCGTTCTACACCCCGCACGAGATCCACCGCCAGGCGGCCGCGGCGGGGGCCAAGGTGATCGTCACCGAGGCCTGCGCCGTGGAGAAGGTGCGCGGGTTCGCCGCCGAGCGCGGCGTGCCCGTGGTCGCCGTCGACGGCGCCTTCGAGGGCTGCCTCGAGCTCAGGGCCCTGATGGACGCCGCGGAGCCGCTCGACGCCGACGAGGAGGTGGACCCCGACGACGTCGTCGCGCTGCCGTACTCCTCCGGCACCACCGGGATGCCCAAGGGCGTCATGCTCACGCACCGAAGCCTCGTCACCAGCGTCGCGCAGCAGGTGAGAGCAGAGCAGAGCTCCTCCTGCCGCCACTCGCCCTGGCCTCCATTCCATTTCCATTCCGTTAGCTCTAGGAGGAGCACGAGGAAAAGTTTTTCTATTGAGGCGTCGAATTTTTTGGGGGATTTCCTTCCCCTTTCTGTGCTTCTTCGATTGGAAGTGGCGTGATGGCGCCCACGCTTTCCAGCTCGGGAGGATTTTTTTTCTTCCTCATCACGCGCTTTTTTTTGTCGGCGCGAATAGAGTGATCATTTACCACCGCGTCATCAGCCGTTAATGGGACAGCCGGCCTCGTGGCTGGCTGGCCTCACGTGGGTCCTAACTGTCAGCAGCAGTAATTCTACGCAGCCAGAGCCAGCTGTTTGACAATCTCACGATCCGGCCCGAGATCCGTGCCGATATGAGTTAATGGCGCCAGCCAGCGTTCTGTGTTCAAATCCTCGTTGGACTCGTTTTGACTGATGGCCTGTTTGCGCAATTTTGTCAGGTGGACGGCGAGAACCCGAACCTCTACTTCAGCAAGGACGACGTGCTGCTGTGCGTGCTGCCGCTGTTCCACATCTACTCGCTCAACTCGGTGCTCCTGGCGGGGCTGCGCGCCGGCTGCGCCATCGTGATCATGCGCAAGTTCGAGATCGGCGCGCTGGTTGAGCTGGTGCGCGCGCACGGCGTGACCGTGGCGCCCTTCGTGCCGCCCATCGTGATGGAGATCGCCAAGAGCCCCCGCGTGGGCGCCCACGACCTCGCCTCCATCCGCATGGTCATGTCCGGCGCCGCGCCCATGGGGAAGGACCTCCAGGACGCGTTCATGGCCAAGATCCCCAACGCCATGCTCGGCCAGGTCTGTTCGCCTCACAGCACGCACCCTGCCCAACTCCACCCCCATCCCACCTCGTAATCGCGCTTCATCACATGCCGAACGAAATGCCGCTTTCATGATTGAATGCATGTGCACAGTGCTAGCAGTTCTATACTGAAAGGGATTCATAGTAGTAGGAGAGTTGGTGGGTGGTAGCCTTTGCCGTCTTTTTGGCTGCGGACCGCGAGAGGCCCGCAGGGCAGGCAGGACCGCTCGGGTTTGCTTGTGCCTCGTGCCAAGGCGACATCTCAACCACGCCCAACGATTTTACGCCTGCGTCGAGCGGTCGAGGCGCCTGTGCTCTGTTCGCGCTTGATGGAGGCGTAGGTGCAGGGTGCCTGCCTGCCCGCAGGCCTAGTGTGGTGAAAGGTCGAAGGCACACGCCAACCCCATGATTTCCCGTTTGCCGTCTCGCTAAGAAAGCATTTCGTTTTTTTACTCTTCCGGTCTTTCCTCCCTCCCTCCCAAACTCTGGGTGGGCGAGTCCCACCACGGATGCCGGTGCACCAACAGAGTCACACTGGTTGTACAAGACGATAGGTTCTGTTTGTTGAAATCGGAATGGGAATGTGACATGATTTGGTTCCGAGTGGAGAAATGCGATACTGAACTGAAAAATCTGTGTTCGTTTCCACCAGGGCTATGGGATGACCGAGGCAGGGCCCGTGCTGGCCATGTGCCTGGCCTTCGCCAAGGAGCCGTTCGAGGTGAAGTCCGGCTCCTGCGGCACCGTCGTCAGGAACGCGGAGCTGAAGATCGTCGACCCAGACACCAGCGCGTCTCTGGGACGGAACCAGCCAGGCGAGATATGCATCCGTGGCGAACAAATCATGAAAGGTACCGTCCAATCCTTGCTCTCTTTGTTTCAAAAAATCCTTGCTCTCTTCCCTGACACGCCAACCTGTATTATACTCCATGTTGACATGTTGGCGGTGTATACCGTTACCCTAGTAAGATGCAGTACGTGACAGCGCTGGATCATTGGTGAGTACGATTTAGGTTAGTTTAGGCCCCCGTGGGTGCGTGTGTGCAGCCGTCAGCCCATCACTAGCCGAATGTGGGTTTGGTTGTCCTATCACAGTGATCCCCTTGCCGACGTTGCCGTTGCTCTCAACTAACGGGATGAAAGCTGTCACGACTAATGACTAGCGTGGACAACTTGATAAGATTTTCTAGGATTAAGGTAGACCCCACTAGCACGTAAACTAATTTGCCATCAGCCAATAAAGCCTAGGTAGCATCAAAACGCTGTTGGTGGCCCTGTACACATGGGTATTTCAGTAATTGGTTTTGTCACGGATAAAACAATTGGCCCTTTCCCATGTCAGCTGTCCGTCTATCAAAATATTTAGAACTTGTACGATTATAAACTCAGGAAATGAAAAAAAAAGGGGTGGACCCAGTGCCGGGTCTGGGGAAGGGAAAAACCGAGGCTAAGCTTTCTCCCTGCAAATATACGGAGAGACTGCTTTGAACCCGTGACCTGGTGACTCGGTGAGACTAAGAAAAAAATTAAAAGTTGCATTCTCATAGCTGTGTCATGGACTCATGGGTGTGCATGTGCTCCTATCATGCTGGAACAGCAGTCTACTGGTTCTGTCTGGCATCTACCGAAAAGTTGACTAGTTTAAGCCTTAGGCCTTGTTTAGTTGGTGAAATTTTTTGGAAAATGGTATTGTAGCACTTTTGTTGTTATTTGGCAATTAATGTCTAATCATAGTCTAATTAGGCTTAAAAGATTCGTCTCGTGAATTTCGTCTAAACTGTGTAATTAATTTTATTTTTTATTTATATTTAATGCTTCATAAATGCGTTCAAAGATTCGATGTGACGGGGAATCTTAAAAAATTTTGCAAAATTTTGGGAACTAAACAACACCTAAAGCTTCTCCCTTTGGCAAACCAAAAGTTCGTGCTCGGTGCACGTCCTGTTTGGCTACATCATTGCTGGTTGACTGCTTGTTCGGTTGTTCGAACCGCACCAGAGAGACCAATGATTTCCTTATAGCACACGTCTCATTATCACTCTGCCAATCGTGTCCAGCAGAGAGGCAGGCACGTTGGTAACCAAATCGTCCACGGATTGCCAATCAGGCTGTGTTTAATTCGCAAAATAAAAATTTTGATGTCACATCGGATGTTTCGGGGATGTCAGAAAGGGGTTTTTCGGATACTAATAAAAAAAACTAATTACATAGCTCGCCTGGAAAACTGCGAGACGAATTTATTAAGCCTAATTAATCCATCATTAGCGCATGTTAGTACTGTAGCGCTTATGGCTAATCATGGACTAATTAGTCTTAAAACATTCGTCTCGCGATTTTCAACCAAACTGTGCAATTAGTTTTTTTTTCGTCTATATTTAATACTCCATGTATGTGCCGCAAAATTCGATGTGATAGTTTGAGGTGAAAATTTTTGGAAACTAAAACAGGCCTCAGTTCGTCATGACAACATGGTTGATGGTTCTGATAAGAACCTGACTAAATGAGACCAGGGAAAAAAACTTGTTCTTGATCTGTTCATAGCTCTAGAAGCCATATTTTTCCTTATTGGCAGCACATCTTGTCCATTTGCCACTATAACTATGAGTACATGTAGGAGTGGGAGCAGCTCAGCATCGGTTACTCAGGCCTCAGATGATTTGGTTATTAAGTTATGCTAGAAAATGGGAAAATGAAGACATGCATGCGGTATTTATGCTGTATTATGGATAATTGGATATGCTTGCATGCACCTAGCGAAAGTAAGCTTCCAGAAGTGAAAAAATTCAAACCAAACCGGCAAACCCTTTGCTTGTTTCTCACCTGCCCAGACCTGAAAACCCATTGACTCTTAGGCAGCTGTGTGGACCTGTTCGTGTCTTAGTCAAAATGGCTGCATTTCCTGACTTGAGCATGTGCTTCCTGCCTCTGCCTCGTGTTGAGATGAGTTGGTCAGGCAGGGCCCTCTCGGCTACCCAACCTGCCTCTTAGCCTTGAAAGTTTAAACACAGGTCACTGGTTGTTTCTAGCCATTTGAACCAAACTGAATTGGTTTTGTCAGATAGTTAATTATTTTTCACCAAACAAAATAAAGTTTCTCCATGAGCCTTCAGACTTGGTCCTTGACCTATCAACGGGCCTATGAGAGACTGCCGAGACAGGATTTGCGATCCATCTTCCTACTGAACAACAAAGATTTGGTCACGAGTCATTATCTTCCTGAAGTGACACTGATCTGCTTGGACTCTAGCACAATCTAAAAGTGGTTGAGATAAGAATCCCGAGTGATCATCCACAAACCTGGAGGAATGGAAAATATAAACAGACATAAATTACGTAGATTCGGTCAGCATTGTAGGTTTCCCTTACCTGATTATGTAGGAAGAATATCCAATTCAACATAAGCTCCTGAGGTGCAACTAAAGTTACAGAGCTTCAGGTCTGGCATCTTCTGGATAGGGCATTTATTTATATCCTATATTCATTGATGCGGCAACCTGGCCATGTGAAAGCATTTCCCCAAGTACCTTTGTTTACCAAATTGTCATGACTTCAAACAACTGAAGAATATCATAATTGTTTTAAAATCACAAATTCTCTAAAATGAAAAGTTCAAGCATTGAGTTTAGCAGCTAATAGCCCGTTATGCTGTAATCTCTGTTTATCATCGAAGTAGATGTTAGGTAGGACCAGACAGCTGGCTTGAGTAGGTGTATCCTTCCATCAGAATTTATTTTAGTTTTTACCTTTCAGCTCTGGACTCGATTTGTTGAGGGTTCTCTTGCCTTCTGCAAACTGCTGTAGATGCCATAAGGTGAAATATCCCTTTGGTGCGCCTTAGAGTATGCATACATTGTATCCATGAATCCATGATAGCGACAGGCTGGTCTGTGCCTCTGTGGAAACCCATGAGCATGTTGATTGGGATATTCCAAAATTTGTGTCCTTTTCTTTCTCCTTCACTGCCCTTGAATATTGAATTTTTGGTGTATTTATTTATTTTTCTATGCATTTAGATATGATTGTCCCTTTGATAAACAAAGAGAGCAATGGTCTGCCCTTCCATTTTTCAACCACACAATATATATGTTCCAAATAAAAACTATTCCATAGCAGATATATGATCAATGTTGCTTTTGGCAGTAATTGCCACATGCCACCACATCAAACCTCAAGGACTAAGACCTTGTAGAAATATCTTTTTTGGAAATGAGAAGAAATTGTGGTATCAGTAATTCAGTATATGGGTTTACTGTAGGTAGCAAGTATAATTGATGGCAATATTTGTGACTTTAAACCTGAAGTTGTCTCTAGCAACTATCCTATCACATTCTTTTTGAATTATCGTATGCTTGGACCATCTTTTTTTTTCTTGGCAGCACTAAACATATTTTCTGCTATTAGTTATCAAATTAAATTATAAATTGCACCAGAATGTTTGCAAGTAACTGTTTTCATGCAAATTACGGAAACCTATGATGTGCAGGTTATCTGAATGATCCAGAAGCGACAAAGAACACCATTGATAAGGATGGATGGCTGCACACTGGGGACATTGGTTATGTGGACGATGACGATGAGATCTTCATTGTTGACAGGCTCAAGGAGATAATCAAATACAAAGGCTTCCAAGTACCTCCTGCAGAACTTGAGGCCCTTCTCATCACACATCCTGAAATTAAGGATGCTGCTGTTGTCTCGTAAGTTGATCCCACACATTTAAATCCTGAAATGACATTAGGTCACATGGACCATATCACTCTGGTGTCAAGGAATTAATTCTTCTGGATCAACTGCAGAATGAAAGATGAACTTGCTGGCGAAGTCCCTGTTGCATTCATTATACGGAGTGAAGGCTCTGAGATTAGTGAGAACGAGATCAAACAGTTTGTTGCAAAGGAGGTAATACCAAATCTTGACTTTCGGAAAACAATAATCAACACAATTATTACATATCAGTGCATGTCTACAAACAGTAGTGTTGAAAGGACTGTAAACTAAGTTGCATCATGTAAAATATAAGAAATGCTTGCATCAGTTCATGTGTCTGGCATTTGAAAGGAAAAATACTATGATCCAAACTTTCCAAAGAGTCCATATCTCATTACAGTTTCTACTTTGTTATAGGTCGTGTTCTACAAGAGGATCAACAGAGTTTTCTTCACGGATTCCATTCCGAAGAATCCCTCCGGCAAGATTCTTAGGAAGGACCTGAGAGCGCGGCTTGCTGTGGGCATTCCGATCAGTGACAACACACAGTCCGAAAGTTGATATTTTGGTGCTATTCTTTTCTAGTTTCGACACCTTTGTCAAAAATCATGCTTTACTATTCATGAGATGGCAATGGTATATATAAAAAGGCCAAGCGATCGATATTGATTCTAATAGATGGGTAAAGTATACTTTGTTTGTTTGTGTCCGACATATGTATTTGTATCATGTATAGATATCGTTTTTACAACAAATGCTGATTATAATGTATACCATCTTTGGGTTAACCTATTATTCATAAAGGGTCAACCCCAGTCCTGATTGTGTCTGCTCTCTGTTACATAAACCCATACCGCTTTGGTGAAATGAAATGACAGACTTATCAATCTCGTATTGGGTACCCTACAGGCTACAAAACTGAGCCATGTTGGGTTCATATTGAAATTGAAATTTGGAAGATAAAAGTCGGTGAGTTTGGAGCAAGAATTTACTGGAATACTCTAACAGTCCCATTTTTCAACTGTAAATCTGGAACGTGATTTCAAATTGGGGGATGAATTGAACTTGTCGAAGTCCAGGTGTATAATACTGAAGTCATACAACAATATACAAGCCCTTAGCGTGCAGTAATTGCTGTTGATTTTTATTGTTTACCTGCACTGCAATCTACAAGTAAGAGGCAACGGCTCCGTTCGCTTCAGCTGGAAAAAGTCAAAACACTGTTCATTTGTCGTGAGAGAAAAACATTGTTTCGGCTGAAAAAATAAGCTGAAAAGTACGGATTATAAGACAAGCGAATAGGACAAACATATTATTATCTACGAAATACACCGGCGAACATGCATACTCATGTCTCCACTAATGTATCAAATGCAACAAAAGCAAAAGAAAATAGAAGCACACACCTCATAGAGGGAGAGGGAGAGAGGAGGGAAAACAGGAGTAGAACTGTAGTAGTACACTCTAGAGTAGAACTCTACAATCTCCATCTTCATAGCCCAGATCACCCTTCATATGGGCCTGCACTTCGTCACGGCCCAGTGTTAGATTCTCCGGAGAAGGCGAGAAGCACACCCGGCCCAGCTGACGCCTTTGGGCCCAGAGCTAGTGCGCGCGTGGGTCCCCGGCGAGTAGTGGCGGAAGACGTTGCGCGCGGAGGCCGCGGAGAGGACGGCGGTTCCCACGGCGGCCAGCATCCCGAGCACGAGGCTGCCGGCGATCTGCTCGCAGAAGCGGGTGTAGATGTTGCAGAGCTTGGTCCACTGCAGCGCGTGCGCGCCGTCCAGCGCGATCACGCACGCCTGCGCCGCTGCCACCGTCGTCGCGAACGTCGTGTACGCGCACGCCTGCGGCCATAGGCACAGAACGAGCGGCGCATGCCAGAGTTAGCTTGCGTGTGCGAGACGCTGGGCGCTGCCGTGCCGTGCTCGCAGCACAGCGAAACCAAAGCATAACATGTCGAGATGGATACGGAGTAGATGACGAGCAAACAGACAGACCGTGCAGTGGTAGTGTGGTACTGGTACAGTTTAGCTGGAGACATATGAGTATGGCGCTATTTATGGTGATTTGGGACTGTTTAGTTTCGTCCTCTAAAATTTACTCCATATCTCGTTGAATGTTTAGACATATGTATGAAGTATTAAATATAAATTAAAAAATAATTAATTACACAATTTGCGACTAATTTATGAGACGAATCTTTTAAACCTAATTAGTCCATAATTTGACGATGTGGTGCTACAGTAGCGCACACATGTGCTAATGACGATTTAATTAAGTTTAATAAATTCGTCCCGTTGATTACTGACGGATTCTGTAATTTATTTTTTTATTAGTATCCAGACACCCCATACGACACCTCCACGTAGCCCCCGATATAACACCCAAAACTTTACTCACTAGATTTAAATAAGGCCTTGTTTTTGTTGCTGCTATGTGTCCTTGTGGCTAGTAGCCGTACTGTTTGAGTGTTCTCTGTGAATCTGGAGGGGCTGTAGCTGCGGTTGTTGGCAACAAAGGGGCGGCAGTGCATGCGGGTCCGTCTTCCTTCTCCGGCGCGGCGGCCGTGTGTAGCTCGAGGTGTTTCTTATGGCTTCTATTGCCTTGAGCAATCAATGTGCTGTGTCCTACACTCCTGCTGCCATGTTCAATGGTTCACACTTCAGACTTCACTACCGCTTGGGAGTGGGCTCAAGGCCTCAAGCAAATTGCAGACACTATCGAGTAAACAATCGACAAATTAGCTGTAGCATCGGAGCCACTGAACCAGGTATGGACCTCACGTTTTATTTTATTTTATTTATTTACTAAGACAATTCCTTGGAACGAAGTAACACTGGAAAACCTCTCAAATCATAGCTGGAAAGAAATAAACTCAAACGGCTAACCATCGTGGCGCGGTGGCAACGTCTCCGGTCGTGGAGCGTGCCCACCAGGTTCGATTCCCAGTTGGGACGAACGTTGCATGGGGTATTTTCCCATATTCTGGACACTCACGTGGCGCTACAATGGGACTACAACATGTCTATTGTCTACGAGGCTCGTGTGGCTTTGGTGATCTTCAAAAGAACGTGTGAGGTGTATAGGTTATAGCTTCTAGGCGTGTACGTGGTAGTGTGAGTGTGTTGTATAGAGTACATATATCAAGCCGGATTTAAGGACACGCGAACGGGGCTTGGGAGCATGCAAAAACCGCTCTTATTAATGGACGGATGGTGAAGAGAGGTTGCATAATTCCAGCCTTCGCTCGCTTGGAACCGCCTCCTCCATTGATGGCGATCTTGGTGCGCTTAATGAGACCACAGTGATGCAGATGAGAGGTGCAGCAAACGCTATCTTAAATATCAATCATGTTTGCCTTGTCCTTGCGTAGGGATGAGCACCTTTATTTATGAGTTTTCTTCTTTTTTTTTTAAAAAAATCATTGTATGTAGAAGAAGGCCAGATGGGCACTTTCTGGATGTTTGTTAATTGCAGTACCAGTATGTACATTTCAATGGAGCTGCATCTGTATGGGTGTATGGGGCCTCACAAGTGTACGTTGGAGTAGAGTTGAGTCATAGAGTGACATGCATTCTGCCGTGCGCTATAGGTAAACACAGCTGTCGAATGAAAGGTGCTAATCACTAATTCCAAAATGAACCCGTACTTCCTCATAAGAATAAATTAACTTTTAGCGCTATCTTTTAAAAAAATTAGGCTTGCCCAAATTTATAGAAAAGAGCACTAAAATTTAAGACATCAAATTAATATTACCAGATGCATCATAAACTATATTTTCATAGTGTACCTATTTAGCATCATAATACTTTTTCTATAAATTTGATTAAAATGAAAAAGGTTTAATTTAAGTCTATTAATAGATTTATTCAGAGACGGGTGAGTATTATAGCTATAGGATCCTCTGTGAGCTCAGTACTATCACCAGTCAAAATCGTTTGATAGTTTTCAGGGATGGTGATGTTCCTTTCAGAGCATACTGTATACGGTCGAGGTTGATCGAGACATAAATACTAATATAATTTATTATAAACTTAGTTAAACTTGAGTTACTTTGACCAAAATGGATAGTTTTCAGGGATGGTGATGTTCCTTTCAGAGCATATTGTATACAGTGGAGTATCCAATCCAACTTATTGTTACGTTAGTTTGGCTTATAAGCCATACTTTTTCAATCAACAAATATTATTTTTCTATCACCACAAATCAACCAACAGTACTTTCAGTTATAGCTTATCAGTCAGGCAATAAGTTGGATTGGATACTCCATTATAGCCCTTGTTTGTTGTTTCTTATTAATTTTCTTACCCAAGGGCCAAAGATTAGCCCTTTTCTTTCCACTAATTTCAGCAGTTCCGGCTCGTGTATGTGTGTGTGTGTTTTCACTATGATTCCCAGGATTTCATTTGATTGGGTTTATTTACGTTGTGATTTAATTGTGATAGTGACCAAAAAGACATTTCCCCCCACTGGAAGCTTGAATATTCTTCCAAGGAAAAGGCGGGATGCAACCCTTCCTTTGAAAGAAGACGGAGTACGACTGTACTGTACGTACGAGGGAGGGACGGAGGGAGTTGTTGCGCCTTACCTTGTCGAGCAGGAGGCATGTCCAGGCCAGAGCCCTGCTGCTCCGGCGGCAGGGGCTCGCGCCGCCGCCGACGCGCCGGCCGAGGTAGAAGCACTTGAGCAGCTGCAGCAGGTGGTACCCCGCCGCCGCCGCCGCCGCCATCGCCAGCACCCTGCGGCAGGGCAGAGATAGTAGAGCGCGAGCGCGCGTGCGCGTACGTACAACCATCAGCACCCGTGCTTGCAGTGCAGAGGCCATGAATGGAAGGCTGCTTACCAGAGCGCCTGGACGTCCTTGACGGTGGCCTTCTTGGTGACGAGCAGCACCGTCTCCGTCTGCGTGCTGAGCCCCACCAGCAGCGCGGCCGCCGCGGCCAGCGCCGCGCACGCGCCCCGCAGGAGGCCCTCCGCCTTCACCTCCCACACCCTCGCCGCGGCCACCATCGCTTAAATTTGCTACTTGGAGTAGCTGCAAGCCCTCTCTCTTGCCACGATCGATTCCCCGGCAGGCTGCAGGCAGCAGGCAGCAGGCGCGAGGCGCGTGAACGCCCCGCCAACCGAACGCTCGCTCGCTCGCGCTGGCGCTTCTGACCAGTCGCGTGGCCGCGCGCGGGACGTGCCGAGCGAGCGCGAGCGCGAGCGCCTAGTGGTTTCGTCGGGCTTCGGCCTCGATCTTTTCCCCACGCGACACGGGTCGGCCGGGTCTTATAGGCGCGGGCGCCCGCGCGCGCACGGCTTGTGGCCTTGTGCGTCGGCCCGTCTCGGGTCACGGGTGCTCGACATGGACCGCTGCACGACACGTAGCGGGACATGGTGTACCGCGCGCACGCTACCGAACGAACCTGTGTCTGTGCATGGTGCCCGGCCGGAGGCGGACGGCGTCGTACAGTTGATGGGATCCAAAGGACACGCTGGGATGGAATCCTGTTTGCTGGTTGGTTTATGGCTGAATATGAGATCTCAAGAAGACACGGCTAGTACAGTAGGAGTTAATGGAATTCACGAGGCGTGGCACGGCCGTAGTACTCGGGGTTTTCACAGGGGTTTACGGCAGGGGGATTAGCCGTGTCGTGTGTCACATGGCCGGGTGTGCCATACACGCACTCCAACCGACCACACGTACCAATACAGAGTTCACGTGCAGTGCAGGTACTAGGAAACGTGCCAACTCTCTCTCTTTCAACGTACGAACGGATGGAATTGGAATCATCAATAGTCATCACACAGTTGCAACGGTACGGTGGAGGCAGGCAGCTAGCGTGTTAAGAAGCGGATCGGAGTCTGAGAGCCTAGCAATGCTGCAAGCTGCTCCAACGCACAACGCAGTGCATGCAGCAGCAGCACAACTGCCCGGAGCACGACGTATTGCTGTAGAGTGTATTATAGCCTCTAGGATAGCGCAACTGTTCCCAACCAGCAAGTCGTCGCGTGCTGCGTTTGCCTTTTGCCATTGGCACAGCGACATTTCATTCTCTCGGACAGCTGACGGAGGAGAGGTCTAGATCCGCTGCGTAGGCCTGGTTTAGTTCCGCCGAATTGGCGACGGTAGGAACACTGTAGCGACATTGTAGCTACAGTGTCTTTTGTTTTTATTTGTTAATACCTGTCCAATTGTTGACTAATTAGGCTCAGCTTAAACGTTGATTTCGTCAACATTTAAGACAACTGTGTAATTAGTTTTTGATTTAATGACGAAATCTTCTTTTTGTATAGATCTAAAGTTTGAGAAATCTTGGGAACTAAACACCCCTAATTCTTTTTGGGGAATGCAGCCGTCCGCATTCTGGTTTAGGATAGCGAGAAATCCGGATCAGAAGATAACTATATTTAAATAACTAATAAAAAATTTGTTGAACGAAATTTTTCAAAAAATCTCTATTCCTAACAATAAGAAAGGATATACAAAGTCTTTTGAAGTTGTTCTTACCATCCACAAATGCAAGTTTATTTTATTTCGACACGCGTTGTATGCGATCTCCAAATTTTGGAAAAAGTCTAAATTACTCCTATAAGTTTAGCCTATTTTCAAATAACCCATATACTAATATTAGAGCATCTCCAAAAGTTCCCAGTGATTTCTTTTTAAAACTATGGAGTTTTTCAACTCACCAAAAAGTATTGGGAGGAATAAATACGACATTTCTCCAACAGTTTCCAATAATTCACTCCTAAAATATAGAAGACAATTTTACATCAGGAATCATATACTATTTCTAAATTATCCTAACCACTTTTATATATTCTTTCTCTCTCTTGTACATTTGCATCAGGAACTATTTCCTACTCTTTATTCCTTTACATGCCCTTCCATCTTATATTGGCAGACCGATACGCGCGTGGAAGACACTTGGATATATCCGGGCATTCAGTGATTTTTCAAGTGCCAATAGATTGAGAGATGAGATTGCAACTCTTGGAGATATGTTTTTTTTTATTGTTGCAAAAAAAACTAGATTGAGAGGCTTTATTGGGAACTCTTGGAGATGCTCTTAGATGCATCCAAATGTGTATCCTTCTATTACTTTCTCCGTCCGTCCCAAAATAAGTGATGTTTTTACTTTTAGACTTTTTGTTTCACCGTTCGTCTTATTCATAATTTTTTTATAAATATTATTTATTTTGTTATGACTTATTTTATCATTAGATATACTTTAATATTGACTTATTCATTTTGTTATTTGCATAAAAAATTAAATAATACGAACGGTTAACAAAAAAGTCTAAAAGTTAAAAACGTTATTTATTATATTTTGGGACGGGGGAGTACTTAGATCAGCTCATCATGCCATGGCTGCATGTTTGCACTAGCTCGATCGGGCTTTTTTTGGGTCAGTGTCTCCTTTGATGCTAGCAGCTAGGTACGCTATCAGAATGGTTGACTGTGTGCTCGGTGGCTAATTGTTTCTTCAACCCATAACCGGCCCTATCATTTTCCATTGCAACGTAGAGTAGCCACTAGGAATTAAAGGCACTTAACAGTCAGGTAGTACTGTCACTGTAGGGTATTGAAGCTCGATTGGGCACTGACCCGAGAACAACGGAGCCCGCAATCTTTGCCGCCGCTGCCGCAAACGCGATAGGCCGAGGGCGTGTCGTCGTGTCGTGTGTGTCCATGTGGCTGCGCCGCGCGTGCATGTGCATCTCGGGGTATTAATCACGGTCAGCAGTTGAGTTGGCCGGGCAAGGGAGAAAATGAGTGAAACGATGGCTTAGCTCTGACCATGAAAACGATAATACACATTTACCACTCCAAGAGAGCAAAATGCATTAAATGTCTCTTAACTTATCCGCATGCATCACTTGGATCCGGATTTTTTTTTTGAGTCGGGACCGTCACCCACCGTAGATTTACAGACTTCTTAAATTTAGAAGAAATAATTATAAAGAAAAACTACACATCTCTCATGCATTAGATGCATGTACATGCATACGTGTCGCAAATACACGATGGATGCCCATGGTTGCTCCATGGAGGCTGTCCCCACCTTTTTTTTTCCTCTTTAGATCCACTAACTTTCAAAGTGCAATTTTAGATCGTTAGACTTTTTATATTGTGTACTGTAAATTCATATCGGTTCAAGAGACGAATAGATCCATCATGGCGTGTCCATGGTGGGTGGTGGCTTCCATGTGTATCGAACCGGTTCAGGTGCCGAAAATTTTACATTGAGCCACTTAACTTGTGTTAAATAAAAGAGCACATCCCTCTCTTCAGCTCATCCCCTTCCTAGATCAATCTCGCACCCCTCCCCCCACCTAGGGGCGGAGAGAAGGGGGCGTGCAGGGGCAGGCCCCCAATGGCCCATGGTACTTAGTACATATAATATAGGTACTAATTAGAAGTAGAGATCATTTGTATAAATGTCGCCGTACCTCTCTATAGCCCACTTAATCCCTGGCCCAATAAACAACAGTGAAAATAACATCCAGGAAACTGAACCGACAGCATTGTGTCTTTTTGGAACGCATGAATTTCACAGGAACAGGAAAAATTCCCGCATTCGGCCTTATCTACTCCGCGTCGTCTCGACTTCTTGCGTTGATTTTTTGTTGAGACGCGCCGCTCCGATCCGCCCGCAGCTCCGAGCTGCGGCTGCTCCCTCCTCTCTCTCGCTAGCCATTCCATGCGCCCACATCGCCACCATCGGCCGATGCTACGTCGTTGTGCAGCCATTCCAGTTTCCAGAAGAAGCAAGGTAATTTGCTCTAACGCCCAGTTTTATTGGTTGATCGTATGAATCTACCTTTTTATATTCAATTTAGCTATTTGGGATTTGCCAAGATGAAGAGGTAAAAAATAGTTGAGAGTTTTTAAGCCAGCATCAGGGTCTAGATGCTATATATTTTATCATATATACTTCACTTTTTATTTAGTGCATGTTTGGCGCAGCTCCAAGCGCTCCGGCTCCTCGTGCCTTGGTACTGTAGCGTATTGTTCTAAACAGTTTCGAGCAGCACTCCAGCTCGGTCCAAAATGAAGTGGGAAACTAATGGAGTCAGAGAAGCAGCTCCCAACAGGCTCCTCACCCGTCAGTTCCGTGGGCGAAGCCTTAAAAGGCATACCAAATAGTCTTATTCTAGGTTGTCCCATAAATTTTATTGACCGTTCGTGTCTTGGCCCATGTTGTTTTATAAATTTTATCGATCGTCTATGTCTTAGCCCCCCCCCCATCTCGGAATCCTAGCTCCGCCCCTGCCCCCACCCCCTCTAGTTCTTGCTTGGTGCCACCACCAATATCACGGGGAACGTGGTACAATACCATGTTCCTTGTCCTGGGAACATTGTTACTGTTCCAAGAAAGTGGGAACAACCCTATCTTAGGTTTTCTATAGTGTAAAAACGTTTATTATTAAGAAGCGTACTACGTTCCACGATCCAATCGTCCCTAGAACAGTATGACTATGGTCGCCACTAGTGCTCCAAATGCATGGCCATGCTCGCCGACTCAAGTGTGTTGGTAATAGGTCCAGGTAGGTATGTCTCCCACTGATTATCTGTGGAGAATGTGGGAAGTGGCGGGTTGTGCAGCTTCAAATTGAAGCAACCATGGAGTGAAGGCCGAGTCCTCTACTATTGTACCGTGCACAAGGTGGGTCTGGAAGACTTAGATTTTGTTTAGTATTTTGGATTTTGAAGTGAGCCTGCTCTGGTTTCTTTTTTGTAGTCCAATGGGGAAGGATGTCCCTTTTTCTAATGGGGGGATGAATATATCAACTTGCTATTGGGCTCCAAGAAAGGAGTAGATCTCACTGGCACCACAATTTTGAATTTGAGGGACGCAACAATATTTTAGGGATTGGGAAGAAAGATAGACTACTAGTAGGACTAGTTAGAGAAGTTGCTAGTTCTTGTATCTTCTTTGTGCTTCTGATTAACCTGTTTGTCTTGATTACGAAGAACTAAATGCAAAGAGGTCGCTTGTGCTTCACTTATTTGTTTTGAT